AGCTTTTTAAGCATCGGTTGATATTTCCTCGATGAATTGTTGTTGTACCTGTGTCGGTAAGGGTTCAACTCATGCGCCGCCCAATAAGAGGCGTGGCTCGTACTGGTCGAGCAGCGATGAGGAACTTGCACATCAGGATGACGCATCACAACTGCTATGTAGCCCGCTGTTGGAAATCAATGGGGAAGTCGCAGCGATGTCTTGAAAAAATCGAGGTGATTTCACCTCAGAAGATTAATAGAGGTGATTCTTACCTCCCGTTGACAACCCCTGAGCCAGTGGTGCAAAATTCCACGTTCCAGTGGCAGGGGTGAGTTCACCTGTAGGACAACCGCTGTTGACTCCACAGCAAAGTGGTACTCGGTTTATTGACCCTGGAGGGATGATGGGCTGGAGGGATGATGGAGGGATGATGGACCCTGGAGGGATGATGGGCTGGAGGGATGATGGAGGGATGATGGACTCTGGAGGGATGATGGGCTGGAGGGATGATGGAGGGATGATGGACCCTGGAGGGATGATGGGCTGGAGGGATGATGGAGGGATGATGGACTCTGGAGGGATGATGGGCTGGAGGGATGATGGAGGGATAATGGACCCTGGAGGGATGATGGGCTGGAGGGATGATGGAGGGATGATGGACTCTGGAGGGATGATGGGCTGGAGGGATGATGGAGGGATGATGGACTCTGGAGGGATGATGGGCTGGAGGGATGATGGAGGGATGATGGACTCTGGAGGGATGATGGGCTGAATGCACCTCCAATCGCGCTCGCTGCACTCCTGTGAGTGACGTGGCCCGATTACTTCGGGTGCCCAAGGTCAACAACAAACAAAAACACGGAACAAAAAAATGAAAAGTGCTAAAAAAAAAGTGTGCAGATGTGCCTGCTCGTAAATACGATGGGTGGTGGGGGGGGGAAATCACTTACCATGAATTAAAATAGAAGCCATCTCCACTCACGGCCTGGATATTACGGCGAGCATATAGAGAGAGACAGAGAAAGAGTGGGAGAGATAGAGCCGTGGTGGTGGTGGCAGGGGAGGTAGAGGTGGCGGGGGGGGGGGGAGAACGGATAGAGCGATTTTTCCATTATACGTCTTGAAAAGAGTGACACGGCGCATTTGATTAGATGTGAGCAGGCAATGAGAACCTGTGGCACGTGTGTCCGATTGACAGGGCATTATACGTGGAACCCCCATCACGGTTGCTTGCCTCTCCCCCAGCTCTGTCTACCACAGACCTGTGCTTAGATGAGTGCAGCCCATGCGACTTCTTGTAAAAAAAAAAATTGTAACAACGTGAAGCTGTAGCCCTGCAATTTCTTCTTCACTCCGCTGCTGGCAGAAGGGCCAACAATGTTACACCATGCCACACCATGCCGTAGTCTTGTCATATAGGGCAAGTCGCCTAGCACAGGTGCGTATTACTCACTAATTGTCTTAAAACGTGGAGGAGGATACATTTACCGCGATTGGGTCATTCGTCCAATTTGGCCACGACAATTTCCCCACGGTGGATGTCTGTTGACAGCGGTGAGATTTTATTGGTCTAAAATAAAAAAAAAGGGTTTAGGTAAAGGCGCGGCCCTGCAGTTGCTCGCTCACGTCCCTGTTGGCGGAACGGCCTTCACTAGAGGTAGATATAGAGTGCATGTGGCCTACTCTTCAATTCTGGCCAGACGTCTTGAAGGAGAATTGAATAGCCATAATTTATTCCACCACACATGGCCTGTCAATCGGCTCACTGTGGTGTCTGTGTCTCCATTTATACTGCTAAGGGGGGGTGGGGGGCAGTGGGCAGTGGGGGGGGGGGGGCAGTGGGGGCAGGGATATGGGGATTTAAGAAACCATTGTTTCAACCTGCCGCACCGGGACATCGAACCAGCAGCCTCTGGATTTAAAGTCCAGCGTGCTAATCATGGCACCGCAGTCGCAGCATTCTCCTTCCTATCGTGATGTGCGGGCAGCATTGCACTGCGCTCGTGCATTCTGTCCATTGTGGTGGACCGATACGATTTATGGGACTGCTATGGAATTCGATGACACTATTTTTTCAATACATCTGAGAGGGCTTACCTTTGACTTCTAAAATGGCATTAAGCCAAGCAAAAATGTTGGTGTTTTTAATAATTCATGCACGCGAGAGTAAACATTAGCAATTTCCCGGAGCACACGTGTACACCTACAGCGTATGCATGACCTCCATACACTGTACATGCACACACACACACACACGTACGCTGCACTTGTAGAGTGTATAGAGGATATACTCGCTGCACGTGTACACACACACACACACTTGCAGAACGAACAGCGTACACGTGATGTCGGTACGTATAAGGTGCCAGTAACAGGTAGCTCGATTTGCTTGCTTTCTATCAGATCTGCCGTCACACTCCGCTTGAGGTGAATTACTTGGCTCACTGATTATGGGGATTGTACATTTTAATTATTGTTTCGAGACTTAAAGCTATTTTGAACGTTAGCCTGACCCCCCCCCCCTGCCCTTATACGATGGAAACCAATGAACTGTAATTTTCCATTTGAATATATTCGATTTCAGCTTTTATTTGTTTACATTTCTGAGAATTCAACTTGATTATATTACGACTGTTACATTTCGGCTCTGTAGCCCTTCTAGAAGATGATCAGAATCAAAATAATTCACTCACTCCATCACAGTCGTCTAGGTATGACAGGTACCATCACCAGCATAGACGATTGCAGCCAAGGAATAGCTCGCGTCCGTGAGGACGTTTGTTCAGGAGAAGGAGTAATGAAATCAGCTCGTATGATGGTGGAAGGTGGATCGTTACATCGCAGCTTGGAGAGTTCCTAATCCAGCAGTGGATTGATCATGGCCGATGGTGATGATGACCTATCTGTAGAAAGCCATCAGTGGTTTCCTTATGAACAAAAATTCCCTTGCCGTGGGAAAATGGAATTTCCAGCACTGTCTCTGGGTCAATCAACAGAGACGATCAAGGAGAGACTGATATCATCGGTTCGACTGCACACCCTATCCGACCCTAGCCTCATGTGGGTGCGGGTGCGTGGGGAGCGGTCGCGTCTTGGCCAGTGCGCGGCGCGACAAAACCCGGTGGCCTGAGTTCGATTCCCAGCCATGGCAAGCATCAGCGATGGTCATCTGCATCGGTCCTGGACATCACCTAGAACAGGGGTGGGGAACGTCCAGCCCGCGGGCCGTATGAGGCACGGCGAAATAATTTGGTCTGCCTGCCCTGCCAAGGCAACCGCAGGCGGGGCTCGAAATTCAATAAATCTAGGAGCAAAACCTGGAAAAGCAGTTGCGAGTAGCAACATCGTCAATACCGGCTAACATCATCACACGCCTAGCCAAAGAGAAGCGGTTCCAGCCATTACATTAGGGGTGAGTTAATTAAATGTTTGACCAAATATAACAGGCTAATTTTTCAGTTTATAATTTTGTATGGCCCGCGAATGATGTTATAAATATCCAAATGGCCCTTGGCAGAAAAAAAAGGTTCCCCACCCCTGACCTAGAACCTAGGTCGACTCGGTCTTAGACGCGCACCTGGTTCTGTGTGCAAACAGGACTTCAGCCCAAGAGCCTGAGTAGGCTGCACGGAGTGGGGTGTGGGGGTTCTTTGTGTATTCACATACATATTCAGCGTTTTATTGAAATGCCTGTTTACGCACCAGTACCACCACTCCGGGTGCCCACTCTGAGCAGCGACGAATGAGTCGAGGCTCCGTTAATTAAAGCTCCACGCGCGCGCACTCCATGTGTCTTGTCGAGGCGCGTGCGGGCATGTGACCGCGTGCGAATGAATGAACGAATTTTAAATCCTCACCGGCTCGCTCATGGCGGTTGGCATGCGGCCCTGGCCGAGGGAGAAAGGCAGGCACACGCTCTCGTTTACGCAATCATTTTTTCGTGAGTCCTTCTCTACCGACCAAGCCCGCTGCACCTTGAAAAGGCCAAATGATTCTCATTACATCCCACTTTTGATTTCGATTTTTACAGATTTTTTTTTTACTCCTCTCAACGATATCTCGATTGTCTTATTGCAATTTAGGAGAGAGTTAATACGTCTCGATTGCATTTTCCACCTGAAAATACATTTACATGGCATTAGGGAATGAATTATTACATAAATGAATAGAGTGCACCCGTCACGTGAAGTCCTTCAGGGGTCTGTCATGTCGTTGTAACCCTATTAACATATGGCTGTATGGTAACCCACCGCATAAATGCATCATCCCCTCTGTGATGGACCCACTTTGATTTTATTTATATTTTATTTTAATAATTCATGCACGAGAGGATTTATTTAGTCTGCCTCTGATTGGAAGACTCTAAATATTAACAGGTGAATGTCCTACGATCACCTACAACTGAATCACCCTCATCTCAGAAGCTCAGCAGCGTTTTGTTCGTAGTTGAATGGGAGACCGCCTTGGGAATATCAGGTGTTGTAGGTTTGGCCTTCGTGGTGGCCAAGAGATGGCAGCACAGCAGATGATTCATGACTCTATCTGTGTGGAACTTGGAGTGTTACCCCCCCCACCCCGTCCACCTCGTATTTGTGGGTTCTCTCTGGATTCCTCCCACATGCCAAACAGTCTTCAGTGGAATTGGCCAAACATCCCGATTCAGGACCTGCCTGGACAAAACGGTCTTGAGACTCCTCAGTCAAAGCTTCCCGAGTAAAACAATCAACCCCCATGGCTGAAACAGCGTGGCCGAGGCCTTCAGCCAGCAGTGAATAGACAAAAGGCTCTGAAATGTTTATATATTTTTTATTATTATTACACTTTGCAACTGGCGATAAACAAACTAACGGAGCGTTTAAATCGGTTCGTGCCCAGGCGCTGGGTGGATTGTCGCACCGCAGTTTCGCGGTAGGCGGCAGCGTCGGCTCGGGTTAGTCCCTCATCCAGCAGTGGATTGACCGTGGTTGCCGCCGTCGCTAACCGCGCTTCGTGTCGCTCTCGCCCCCCGCGTTCCCCAGCGCGAGCGCCGCGTGACGACAGCCATGGCCTCGGTGAGGAGGAAGTCGCAGAAGGAACGGGTCCTGCTGGCGCGCCAGGCCACCATGCCGGCGGCCCCCGTGCACGAGGGCATCCTGCAGGCCGCCCGCGCGCCCATCTCGTGCTTCTCAGCGACGCCGTGAGTGATCCCCCCCCCCCTCCCCGAAGCGCTGGGAAAACGGAGGCGTTCCGTCGGGAATTCCGTCAACCCGTCAATACGACTCGCTTCATTTTGTATTGTCAAGTTCATTGTTGGGTTCAGCTTTTCCGAAGGCACTCCCAACTTGCTCCCCAATATTGTGTGTATGTACGTTGGTCTTCCTTCGCACCGTACGTAGCCAACCGTGCTAACCGGAGGTTGCGGGTGAAGGGCAACCAACTCAAGACAAGTCGTCATCGTCCTTGCTACACGTTTGCACTGCGCTTAACGGGTGTTTGGTGTGATGAGGTACGGTCGAACAACTGGCACGACGTGGCGAGATATTTATCTGGCAGTGGATTGTTCAATGGCTATGAATTATTATTGTTTGACGTTCCACAATAGCGGCGCGTCGCGAGTCGTCTTCAAGTCTCGTCAACACCGTTTTGTATTGTCAAGTTCATTGTTGGGTTCAGCTTTTCCGAAGGCACTCCCAACTTGCTCCCCAATATTGTGTGTATGTACGTTGGTCTTCCTTCGCACCGTACGTAGCCAACCGTGCTAACCGGAGGTTGCGGGTGAAGGGCAACCAACTCAAGACAAGTCGTCATCGTCCTTGCTACACGTTTGCACTGCGCTTAACGGGTGTTTGGTGTGATGAGGTACGGTCGAACAACTGGCACGACGTGGCGAGATATTTATCTGGCAGTGGATTGTTCAATGGCTATGAATTATTATTGTTTGACGTTCCACAATAGCGGCGCGTCGCGAGTCGTCTTCAAGTCTCGTCAACACCGTTGTCTGCGCTTGTGCAAAATTATAATTATCGTTAAAATAGCGTCTCGGAAATTTTGCGAGATGTTACCTTTACCCGACAAAAATGATGGCTTACGCTATGTTGATAGTTGCGCAGTTATACAAAACAGTTGCGTAGAAGCACCCCTTACTGTATATAAGCACACAAATTATTTGTTGGTGATGCTGCTGTATTTCCAGTGGTATGTGCCCAAAGACAGATAACCCAAAAACATTTTATATATTTGTAATTTTTTTTCATTTTAAGGCAGTGTTATCGGGCGAATGTGTTTATTTTCATAATACAGGTTTGGGTTCAGATCGCGTAAATACGCATAAATACGCGATCTAACAAAAAAAACACCTGTGTTATGGATGATATTGGCCGTGAAAGCCTGCGTGTTTATTTTCGTTTGGCATATGAACACAGTTCTGGTTTAGGCAAAACATGTGTACATTACACTGGTGGGAGGAAAACACAAATGGATACTTCTGAGACAAGTACACGCGTACTCGTTGGTTCTTTCGGTAAAGTCGCGTAGGTGAAAAAGTAAAATAAATTAAATCACGACGTTTCGATTGCAACACAAGCAATCATCTTGCTGAAGTAAAAAAATGTCTTGCTGTGGTTGTCACACCTGATGATGATTGCTTGTGTTGCAATCGAAACGTCGTGATTTAATTTATTATACTTTTTCTACCTACGTGACTTTACCGAAAGAACCAAAGAGTATGGATCCTTGCAGTCACGAAAACTTCAAATCTAGAAAGTACACGAGTTCAGATATAACCATACCTGGCCTTGCTCCCAAATGCTGTGCTTAAATTCACACTCTACTGTCATTCGTGTGAAGTGACTTGATTGCCAGCGTGTATAGGAAATGTGCCCTGCGTTAATCATCCTTCTAAGCAGGGTGTATTTATTCTAAAGAAGTGTGGTGACGCAATGCCTTGCGGGTTAGCGAGTGAAGTGTGTCGAAATGAGCTACTTTGTCGGCGCGGTGTGCATTGCCTGGCAAGCTGACTCATTTGATGAGACACTGAACGTCGAAGCGGCTCCGCGGCATCGCCTGTATTAACAATAATAATAACAACAACGCCAGCTTGTGAACGCGCACAGTATTCGCTCATTCTTGAAAGAGAGACAGAGAGAGAGACTCAGAGGCGGGAAGGCAGCAGCCAATCGGTGGGCCGGTGCCAGCGATTAGCACCAGCTCTGCAGTCCTCGATATATTAAGATGTTTATACTTCTGGAAGGAGGGAACCAGAGCATCTCGGGAAAACCCAGCGCTGTGGGCCGTGTTGTCAAAAACGCCGTTGTTTTTTGTTTTAAGTACAGAGACAAATGTGACAAGGAGATGTGCTGTCGGTTAATTTGTTTCGTTACTTATATTCTCCAGGACAACACGTGTTTCTGATTATTTTTCGGAATGATGATAAGATCAGCGTCCATTGACAATGCCAGCCACCTTGAGTTATTTGTTTTGTTTAATTTAAATACGCCTTTTTACCCTAGAAAGCCTCGCTGAGTCTCACAACTCATTTTTAGAGGGTGCAGAGTAACTTGCAGTAAGGGAGCGGTGAGGCTGCTGCTGCTATATGTAACCCCAATTGAGTAATTTGCAGGTCATCTTTCAGCTCTGGAGATGTTTGGCCAATACCAGTTACATTGCATGGGTTATTTTTGTTAGCTATGCGAGGACACCGGTGGTCCCAGAGGAAACCCACGCGGAACAGGGGGCGAATATAGAGACTCCACATGAATGGGCGGCCCGAGTCGGGAATCGAACCCAGGGTCTTCTTGCGATGAGTGTTGCTCTACCGCGGCCACCCTGCCACCCAAAAAAACGTGCGGAAATTCAAACACGAGCACCCGCAACGCTTTTCCATCTCGACCAAAACCTCCCACGTCTCCCAAATCTAGCCAACGGCACGACCCCGACAGCCCCGAGATCTTTATCGCGGATAATCCGTTTTTTGACGCGCTCTCCGCTATCAGCTGGTTTTCATAGCACTACTGTCCTGGTGGAAATATATGACATGGGTGATCATTTAAGGCTGAGTACACTTAGGGGAGGCCCAGGACCAGATCTGATATCACTTCCTACTACTAATAATAACCGTAACAATGTTTGGTTTCATATCGTGTCGTTCATACATCTCTCGCAGGCAGTAACTAAGACGATTAGCCAACCAGGATGTCAGCCATCGCCAGGTATCGAACTCCAGTCACCAGGGTCATAGCAGAATAGTCTAACTAATGTGCTACCACTCCCCAAATGAGTTCAGCAGTATCTCTGCTAATATTACGTATATGTGTATTTACGGTACACACATATCTAAAGCACTACACTACTATATTCTTGGTTCTTTCGGTAAAGTCACGTAGAAGGGAAACAATAAAATAATAAAAATATAAAACAATACAATTCTCACGACGTTTCGACTGCAACACAAGCAATCATCATCAGGTGTGAAAACCACAGCAAGAAAATTTGAAAAAAGTGGCGTTTTTTTAACGTTATCACTACGGAGAGCGATTTGGCAGTTATTCAAATGGACGAGTCCATCTATGTTCGGAAAAGAGGAGGGGGGAGACGAAAATAATGGATGCGGTCTGAAAGCCACCGTAAGCGTGAACAATCAATTAAGACCCGAAATGGTTTATCAAATCCTTCCAATGATTGCTAAGCCAGAATCCATCTTCTCAGTTAAAATTGTCTCTGTGTTTGTATATGTAGATAGCCTCATGAACGAATCTGTCATGATAGCCAGATGGCTTGCAGATAACCTCTATCTTGGAGAAGTCAATGTCATGTGAGCCTACTGAATTATAACAGTGATCTGCCATGGCCGAGGTGTTGGTCCTACCGTGTTTTAGGTCTGCTTTGTGTTCACGAATATGGTCCAAGACATGTCGTTTGGTTTCTCCAATGTAACTACTACCAGAGAGGCAACTTAGTTTGTAGACGCTAGGGTACAGTATGTCCGGAATCACATCTTTTACAGACAGAACCAGATCACGGATTTTATGTAATGTGTTGAATCGGACCTGGATCTTGTGTTTATTCAAGATTTTGGAGATCTTTTTTGTTATCCCCGCAATGTAGGGTAAAGTGATGGTTTTGAATGGCTCCTCAAGAGGGTCCTTCTTCATGGTTGGAGTGATAGCTTTGTGGATTGTGTCGTCGGAGTAACCATTAGCCTTAAGAGCTTGGTGTACGTGCTTGAGTTCACTGGCTATGTGTTCCTGGTCGGGTATGCATTGGGCTCTATGGTGCAGAGTCTTGATGAGGGAATTCTTCTGGGATGGATGGTGGTGGGAATCCGGTTTCAGGTAAGCATCCGTATGGGTAGCTTTCCTGTAGACAGAGTGGCTCATTGAACCATCAGATCTCTTTTTTATTAAGACATCCAAAAAAGGTAGCTTGCCATCTTTTTCGACTTCCATGGTAAATCTGATGGCTGGGTGTATGTAATTGATGTGGTCGAGGAATTGGTCTAGAGCAGGCCGGCCATGTGGCCAGATGACAAAAGTGTCATCCACGTACCTCTTCCATAAGGTTGGGCGCAGAGTGGCAGTCTAGATGGCGTCAGTCTCAAATTTCTCCATGAAAATGTTGGTTACAACCGGAGATAGGGGGGAGCCCATTGAGGTGCCCTGAGTTTGTTTGTAGAAAGTTCCATTCCAAGTGAAGTATGTATTGGTTAAGCAGTGTCTCACCAGGGGGGGTACCTCAGTGTTTAATCCTTGATGAACCAAGTCTTCAATGATTTCGATGGTGTCAGGTACAGGAACTTTGGTGAATAAGGAAACTACATCAAAATTAACAAGCAGGTCGTCTGGGGACAGGGAAATACCCGTGATTGTCGATACCAGGTGAGTAGAATTTTGTACCGCAGAGGTGGTTTTTCCAGTGAAAGACCGCAGGATTTCAGACAGAAAACGAGCCAGTTTGTAGATGGGGGAGTTGATAGTAGAGACGATGGGACGAAGGGGTGTATCTACTTTATGTATTTTTGGTAAGCCGTATAATCTTGGTGGCCTGGCAGCAGAAGGTTTCAACGATAACTGTTTGGTTTGATCAATTAATGCGGTTGAATCAGAAATGATTTTGTTGGTTTGTATGACGAGGCTGTTGGTGGGATCTCTTTTTATTTTTGTATAGCTGCCATCGTTGAGTAATTCTTGAATTTTGTTGTTA